CACATGTACCCCATACCTAGGCTTGATGATATGCTTGATGAATTGCATGGATTGACGGTGTTCTCAAAGATAGATTTAAGAAATGGCTACCATCAGATTCGCGTGAAGGAAGGTGACGAATGGAAGACAATCTTCAAAACGAATGAAGGTCTTTATGAGTGGCTACCTATTACGGAATGCATGAAGAAGGGAACCTTCGAATGGACTAAGGTTGCCTACAATGCCTTTGAAATCATAAAACAAAAGTTTTGCTAGTCTCCTATCCTTTCCCTTCCTAATTTTGACCAAGTGTTCGAGGTCGAATGCGATGCGAGTGGTGTTGGCATTAGAGCTGCTCTCACCCAAACTCAAAAGCCTTCAGCATATTTAAGTGAAAAGCTCACGGAATCAAGGAAGAATTATTCGACCTATGATAAAGAGTTTTATTCAATTGTGGGGGCTCTCGATCACTGAAGTCATTATTTAAGGCCCAAACAGTTTGTACTCCATTCCGATCATGAGGCACTGAAGTATATAAGCGGCCAACACAAGCTTAACTCAAGAAATGCTAAATGGGTAGAGTTTCTTCAATCTTTTTCCTTTGTCTCAAAATATAAACCGAGCAAAATTAATGTTGTAGCAAATGCCTTATCGAGAAGATACTCGATGCTTGCTATCTTGGATTCCAGAATTCTTGGTTTTCAATCGATGAAAGAACTCTATGTTGATGATCCTGCTTTCTCACCCATCATCGACAACTGTAAACATGGAGTTCAAGGCACTTATTCGATTCAGGATGGATTTCTCTTTAAAGGAAATCGATTGTGTGCCAAAGGGTTCCTTTAGAGAGCTATTGATTCGAGAAGCTCATGACGGAGGAATAGCAGGCCACTTCGGAATTAACAAACTCTTGAAGTCCTTCAAGAACACTTTTACTAGTCGAAAATGTACGGAGATGTACACGCACTAATTGCCCGATGTGCGACGTGTCAAAAGGCAAAGAGTCATTTCCATGAAGGGCTATATACTCCACTTCCAGTATCAACATAACCTTGGGAAGACGTAAGCATGGATTTTATCGTGGCACTCCAAAGAACTCAAAGGGGCAAAGATGCTATCATGGTGGTTGTTGATCGATTCTCTAAGATGGTGCAGTTTATTCTATGTCACAAAACGGACAATGCTTCTCACATTGCTAATTTATATTTTAAAGAGATTATTCGTTTGTATGGAGTCCCTAAGGCCATTGTGTCTGATCGTGATTCAAAGTTCCTAATTTACTTTTGGAGGACATTATGGGGAAAGCTTGACACTAAACTCTTATTCAGCACAACTTGTCATCTGCAAATTGATGGTTAAACTGAGGTAACTAATCGAACCATCACTACTCTTCTTCGAAGTATGGTGAGTAAAACATTGAAGGGTTGAGATTTAAAGCTTGCACATGCTAAATTTGCTTATAATTGATCGCCAAATTACATCACTGGTCAATCACCATTTGAAGTTGTGTATGGAATCAATTGTCTCACACCTATCAATATGTTACCCATTCTATCCAAATCACAAGTCAACTACGATGCTGAAGAGAGTGCTAAGGTCATAAAAAGGCTTCATGAACAAATTCAATCTAAGATTGAGAAGGCAAATGAGTCTTACAAATAGAAGGTAAACAAGCATTGAAAGAAGAATCAATTTCAACCGGGTGATCTTGTATGGTTACACTTGAGAAAGGAAAGATTTCCAACTCGCCGAAAGAACAAGATTATGCATAGAGCTGATGGTCCCTTTAAAGTTCTCGAAAGAATCAGTAACAGTGCATACAAGATTGATTTCGTTGGAGATTATGGCGTCTCGGCAACTTTCAATGTGGGAGACCTTTCTCCTTATATTGAAGATGACAAACTATTAGATTTGAGGACAAATCTCAAACAACTCGAGGAGTATGATGCGAGAGCATCGGGGTCTATCAATCAACCCCTAAGCTCAACTCATATTTCGTCGATTGAACCGGTCCATGCGCTATTCATAAAAAACAAAAGCCAATTCATGCTACAACTTAATCATGTGGGTCCAAGGATGAACCTTGTCGATTATGTGAATTGGTTGCTAATTTACAAGTTTACTGTCGATTTCAAGACTCCCATTCGACAACCTATTAATGGGAGACTATTTTGGTCGATTTCTACTACTGTTTGATGACTTTCTATGGTGATTGTTTGGCTTCCAAGGCTGATGGACGAATTTAGAGAGTCTTGTTAGCTTCCTATGCATATAATAATTAGTGACATGCATTTAGGTCTCTTTATTCGTAGCTTTTTATGAGTCTTAATTGTGGTGTTGCTTTAAGAGTCTTAATTAGGTGAATTCCCCAAGAGTCTATTCGGTTTTCGGGAATTCGAAGAGTCTTTTCTTTTGTGTAGCAATATCTCTATAAATAGAGGTGTAATCTCATTGTAAGACATCATCGATTTTGAGAATATGAATATATGAGATTTTCTTTTGTTCAGTGAATATCATTGGAGAGTGGATAACTCATATTCCGGTTTCTTTATCCTTGGAGAGTCGAATGCTCCTTGGTGGTGAGCCAAAAAGCCCTTTATCCTCGGCTGGTAGTTCGTTCTTTAGGCCTTGGTGGTGAGCTTCTCTATCCCGAAACCCTTTATCTTTGACAGGTGGTTCGTCCTTTAAGCCTTGGTGGTGAACTTCATTGATCTCGATTTTCTTCCTAGGCTGGTGGTGCGTCTTTTATGCTTTGATGGTGATCGTAATCTATCATACATTTTCATACATCTATCGATATCCATCCCATACACTCTGATATATCCTTGATTCCTTCGACATCACTCAAAACATCACTCGCTCACCCCTCGCATCCGCATCAGTTTTTTCAAGCGAGAATGAGAGAGGAAGTAGAGAGATCGAAGAGACTTGAAGTTTGAAGTTGCAAAGAAGGAGGGGGGAAGGAGCCAACGGGAAAATCTACTTATATAGGCATCGGGTGCATTTGACAACTTTGTGAAATTCTGATTTTTGGTCCTCTCAACTTTTGTAAATTGTCAAATTGTTCCCTCGAACATTTTAATTTTGTCGATTAAATAATCTAAGTTTTCACAATTTGTGCAATTGGTGATTTGTCTGATGGATTCTTTTCACCATCAACGACGATGTGACGACTATTTAAATTAGATAAGTGCAGACATTGCTTTAAATTATAAAAATTCAATTTTTAAATCAGATAAGTAATGACAGTGCTTTAAATTATAAAAATTCAATATAACATAAGACGAGGGAAAAAAAAAGGAAAAAATAATGCATCAAGAGGTTAAACGAGAGAAGTTCGTCATCACAAATTTTCCATTGAAGTTTCTAAAAACATGTTTGTCCGTTTGTTAACATTTATTCTATGATTTTTTTTCTTTCTTACTCTCTTCAAATACTTGAAAACAAAAAAAATAAAAAACCTTTGAACATAATATATGACAAGCTATATTGTAAGTAAATTTTGAAGTGACTAGTATTTCATGTAAAATGGTTATGCTCGTTGCAACAATTAATTAAAGGAATAATTTTTTTGAAAATAAAGGACACTTTAAATAAAAAAATAATACTACCCTATGAAAATATTTGCTCAAATGTGTAAAAATAACAATGCATAATACTATATTTTTCCTCTTCCCATGAAACAATGTGCTATGTTAGGCATCATCTTGTAAAACAACAGGTAGACAAAACCACCTAAATCTCTAAATAACATGTAAAAGTAAATTTATATTAACAAACGTAAAAAGAAATAACAACCTCATTTGATTGGAATAAAAAACAATTAAATCATATAAATTACTTCCATTACAATCCAACTAAAAAATTGACACCGAGAAAAGGGGTGTTGGCCTAAAACAACTAAATAAAAGTAGAATTAGTCATTGTCTAATGTATATCGAGTCAAAACTAAAATTTGATGTCAATCCTTAAAAAGTCCAATACCCATTTTAGATATACCAATACACTCTTTACAACAATGATAATATCATACTTACTCAAGGCAGGAATAGTTTACGCATAACACATAAGGATAGACATGCACATGAGCGTAATGCGTGTTAAAGTTCTAAGACATAAACCTCTTTTTTTTGCCTGACTAAGACAGACATTTGAGTGGGCGAATTTTTTGCAAATTTTGGTCTAGTTGTGAAATGATGAACTCATATGAGAAAAATATAAGCGAATATGGTGCAGGTTTCATCATCAGGTGGTGCTATAGACTGTACGAATTATAGTGTAAAGATTGTACAGAATTTGTAGCACAACCCGATATACATCTCATAAAATTTTTGAAATAGGATCGTCTTGATCAGACGATAAGGAAATTTAGAGGACCAAAACAAAATTAAACCTCATGAATAGGTATGATTTTACTGCTGTTATGCCTCGAAAATATATCTCTTTTTCGTGAAAATGTTTGCGAGAAAATCTTTTTTAATTTATGCAAAAATAAAAAGCTGATAATTTTTTTGTACCCGAAACCAGCTTCCGCGTCGGATTACCAAGTCCGAGGAACGTTTACACGTGGCACTTTTAACAAGAATTAGCTTCGGTTGCGGGTAAAACACCCATGCTTATATAGTGGTGTTGATACACAACGATGAGGGGGCACTTTTAATGCGACAACCCATACTTTGACTCTCGCCCACATTTGATCATTACGAGTCTCGGCAATTTCGACAAGACTACATTATTGTGTTTTAATGGGTGCAGATATTATTTGTTAACAAGATGATATAATCAGTAGGCCTTTTGCATTGTCGAGACTACACAAGCCCGAACACTCGATATAACCATAAAACTCTTCTCTCTCTATCTCGTGTTCTCGACTTAAATTCTTTGAGCTCGATGTTGTGCCCTTGTCTTCCACTTCCATGGCTCTTGCCGCTCCGAAAATTTGCTTAAGCTATGGTTTAAGATCTCGATTAAGCTTGAGTGAGAAAAGTAGGGAGACTATCAAAAAGGAAAGAGTAGAGAAACCCGAGTGCGATTAGATTCGAGACGAACGTGACTTGGCGCTCGCGGTGTGCTTCTGGTGTATATCTAAAGAAATGAGGGAAACTCAATGCCTACATTTACATGGTTTGGCCTCTAGCGTACATCTATAGAGAGCATGGACACAAATTCACTGTTAAAATGAAAGGCTTAAGCAAAATCATGGCATTTCTGTGACATACAGCTTGACGATCATTGATAAAACCACGAGTAGCTCAGAGGAGGCTTTAGGTCCTGGACCTGGTGGAAGGCGCATTAATCTTTTCCCTTCAGATTCCTCGTAAGCATTTTGGTAGCAGCTCTAGCAGTAAAGGGTTTTCTCCAGTCGCATGGTTCCAGCAAAGGTAGATCTTTCTTCAGGAGGAATTCCTGCAAGCTTCGAGTTTCAAGAAGAAGGTTCTCACACCTGAGGCAAAGAAAAGCTGCCTCCTGAGCTCGGACCCTAAGGCGCGCCTCCTGTAAGTCCTTCAGTGTCCAATTTCCATGTCCGTGTTGCGTTGGAACAGATGTACCTCTCTTCCCGTTACGCCTACATCCAAACATGTCCCCTGCTGTCACAACACCTGCTTCAGCAAGGATGCCCGGTGAAAGGCATTAATCACAAGTGAGTCCCTCCCGCTTCCTTTTCCTTCATTAAGTTTTTTATATGGTAGTAGTCTCTAGTTCTGCTGCTTTTCGGCAACTGATGTCTTGGAACATCGTTTTTTAGAGTCCTTGAGTACTTCTATGATTGGAGTTTGTCTTCTATGGATCGTCACGAGAATTGGATTATTGATGCTAAGTGGCATTTTCTTCCTTGTTTTGACGAGAATTGACAGTGCTGAGTTATTGGGTCATTTTTGTTAAGTTCTAGCTATTAGAATGGATGCCAAAGTGGTTGATTATGCTTTTTGCAGAAAAGTTCACTTCATACCACCGTATCTAGGTCACTGTCTGTTCTGGAACGAAATATGTATTTGATAGATGAGATCTGTTTCTTTTGCTGCCCACAAGCAACATCCTGTAACAGATTCTTCTGATGTTAAATAGCAGCGTATTTATTCTGTGTTATTAGATTTATAGTCGAGCCAAATGTACATAAGTAAATTGACTAATGATATTTAAAATTTCGTTAAGTGGTTTAGAAATATAGTCTTCACCTCACCGGTTCATGGCGAACTTAAAAGTATGAGCACTCACAAAAATTAACCAAAAGTATTTTATATCTGTCATTTATGGACAGATTTGGCTCTATATAACATTATTTCTTGGTAAATTAGATCAAATTGCTCCTACTCATGAGGAAGATGATGATGAAGAGATTCCTGAAGAGGAAGCAGTGTGCAGGATTTGTCTTGAACTGTGTCAGAAAGGATATAAATTGAAGACGGAGTGCAGCTGCAAAGGTGCCCTTAGATTTTTATATGAAGATTGTGCAATTAAATGGTTTAGGATTGAAGGAAACAAGAACTGTGACGTTTGCAGCCAAGAAGTTTGAAATTTACCCGTGACCTTGCTTTGAGCAGCAACCTCAGCTCAGCTTGCTAATGGACAAGAACAAAATCAACAGAGCTTGCATTTACAACAGTGAGATTGGATTAAAAATTCAATTACACTTCTTAAAACTTGTTGTCTTTTCTGTCTAACTGGCATCCATCATCTCATCTAGCTGGTGCAACTCTGAGCTTTCTTAGTAGATCATGCCTTAACTTTGCACAACTTAGTCAAGCACTCAAGACTAAAAGTAATTACCCAATTTATGCAGTGCCTGACAGGATTTTGTGGTGCTTGTTTTAATAAGCACAACATGCTACTTCTTCTTCCTTGAGCAACTACTGGTAAGTCTTTCTGCCATGAAAAAAAAAAAATGCATACTGAAAGTTGTTGATTCGTTATTACTGGGTGTGAACTGTAGTGTTATAATCACATTTTCACGAGTTTATGCTTGAGAATTCTGTAGTTTATGTAGAGATAAAAGAAAAATTAAGCCCTCTGTACCATCTGTTTCCCTCAATGAAAGTGGTTATCTCTTTCACTCTTTGTAAGACAAACCTGAACCAATTCCTTCTTTAACCCTCACCACAATTGCTATTATCGTTTTCCTACAGTTGTTGCTTTGCACAGGAATGTTCATTCTATTTGTTCTTTTTTCTCTAGATTCATGACTTCAAATCTCAAGCAATTTTGTCATAGCAGCACCACTCTCTTTTATCAGACTTCTTCATCAAGAGCATGGTTTACAGAAAGTTCAATTGTTGGGCAATGAGAGCATTCAAGAAAAAATCATACCAGCAATAACTGACAATGGCGGCACTATGAATTCTTTTTTGCTTCTGTATCATGATTTCTCCAAGGATTGTGAGCTTCTCTTACAGCCTGAGCTTCCGGCGAATTCTCCCAAGCCCGCTTCTCCGACTCCAATACAGTCAGCTTTATCATCTGCAACATACAAGCACCATAATCTTTCTTAAAATGTAATACTTTCAATGATGGAACTTGGTTGATCCCTTGAAAGACAGACCCTTTTGTAGCAAAATAAGCAACCAATGGCATGGGAAAGAACCTGATAATCTTCGTCACGAAGATGCTTATGAGAGTATAGGTAGTTATGAAGGCAAGGAAAGCAAACAACATTCTCCCAATCTTTTGTCCATACCAAAGTCCATTCAGAAAGATGCAAGTGAGGAAAGCTCGTCTGTCTTCCACAAGATCACAAATGAATTGCAAATATACAGGCCTACAAATCACTGCATTCAATTGCATTCCTTCGCAAATTTAACCTCTTTCATATTCCTATCGAAATAGCTGAAGAACAGTCCGCTCAATGTTCTCTTGAGATGGGCATAACTGTTGTAAGTTCAGTTTTAAGCCCACTATCTCCAAAACTATTTTTCAGAAATTTCTCCCACAGAAGTCATCAACGAACAGATACTAGTTGCATAAACTATCTGTTCTCCACAGACAGCGGAACGCTTCGCATTCATTGGCATTGCCACTCATCATCCGAGACAACATTTTTTCGCATTATGCTTCTCATTTAGAACAGCGAGAACGTTCAATTCTTGCCATAATAGACAGTCCAAATTAAAGCCCTCCCTTTCACAAGCTAGCGACAGAGACATACTGCTGAAATCATGAATTTCCATCCTATCCCCAACTTAAACCACAAAGCAACTGACTACATGATGCTTTTCTCATCCGAAGAGAGACAAATTTGAGCACGACCCATCACCGTAAAATCTGCTCCCATTCAACTAAACACAATAATGAAGATGAATAATGCTTAATGGTGCCTAAAACTATCGATTTTGGAGTCATGTCGCGCCATTTTTTGGCTACGAGCTACCCAACAAAGAAGCGGAAAAAGTTGAAACAAAATTTGCAGGAACAGGCAAAGAAGGAACAAAACGAAATGGAGGGTCCTCACACAGAAGCCGGTCTTGATCATGAACAACTCCTTGGAACCTCCGACGAGAGCTGAGAAGAACGCGATCTTCACGTACCAATCCCGAAACTTCACCCCCATAACGAAGCTTGCTCAAGCGTTCGCGGCAGTTGCTGAAAGATGGAAAACAAAAGAAAAGGCGGAGAGGAAAATGAAAGTTTGTGCCGGGCCAACATAGCCCGACCATTTCCTTTAAAGAAAGCTTATTTAGCTGTTGGGTCCAAGAACTTGGGCCTTTGACCACTTACAGTGCAGCTCGTGGCGTCTATCTGCAATCTTTTCTCTTCTTTTTTCGTTGCATGAACGAGGGCTGATGCTTATTGCAGAGTCTAGCATGAGCACAAGAACTTCGTCCAGGGTGATTCTGCTACACGTCATGCTGTGGATGACTAGGAATCAAACCTTCTAAGAGAAGAACCCATATGGCAAAGCTTGTCCCGACATGCATAAGCTCTTCTAGGAGTACTTCCGCTCGGCAATGACATTCGATGCTCGATCTGATCTACATTTAGGCCAGAGATTCAAGCTCGACAATCCTGGAACTGCTCGAGTTTCAGCAAAATCTGATGAATACTTTTTAGCAACTAGCAAGCAGAGTGTCTGTCTATCTCGAAGGTGATAGTTTGTCTGTTGTTGAGCCTCTGATCAATTTGGAAACACCTGCTTGGAAGTGGAGATTCTTGAACTCAGTCAAATCGAGAAGCTCGTGGCAAGATTAAATGGTGGGGACTCAATTCAACTCCATGATCAGCTAATCTTATCTCGCAAAATCTTGCCCACCTAATCATATTCACCAGTCACACTTACCCTTTTCGTTTATTCCTTTTTGCAGTGAAATAAAATGACTGCATCTGAGGTAGTGTCGTTGAAGCACTAAAGAAGCAACAGTTTCGACCATAAATCCACAGAACATTGAACAAGCACCCTAAGCAGTAAGATCGCCACACCAGGTACTAGCCAATTCCTAGTACGGTAGCGTCTAATCGGTCCTGCATAGCATCTACTGACCACAAAAGAGAAGGACTTCAACATCGGTGCAGTTCTAGGGATTGGCATCTACTTTCTTGTCTATTTCAATAAGCTGCATCATGGATTCAGATCTTATGTCAGGATTAGTGGGATTATCCACCAACGCAGCTTAGGAAGGACGAAGCGACATTTCAACTTCTGCTATCAAGCGAAGCATCTGCAATGTTATTGAGTATACTTCCATTCATTTAACTGTTTACTTGGGCTATATTGAATATTAAGTACATTGACACCTAAATTTTGACTAATTATTTATAATTAATTGCATGAAAAATTAGGGACTAATCATTAATCCTTAAACATTAATATTAAAATTAAATTGCATTGTATATAGATATTAGGAAAATTTGCATTACTAGTTAATTAGGCCCATATAGTTTACATATTTATTGGACCGACAGTGGATAAATTTAGGTGAATGGTCTTGAACTTAATGAATTGGATTGAGTCCATGGAGTAGTGAAATTCGGCCCTACCCATTGCATTGCCCAAAATTCAAAGAGAGAGGAGGGCCTTGTTGAGCTTAAGTTTAGCCCGTTAGGCTACGTTTGGTCGTCCGGATTTTTAAACAGGATAGGACTGGATAGGATATGATAAGAAATCCTGAGATTTCTTCATATCTTGTCCACTGTTTGGTGGACTACGGATTTAAAGTTGGATAGGATATATATATATTTTTTTGCTATTCACGGGTCCGGAGGAGTCAGTGAAGGAAAAAAAAGCCGAGAAATTTTTTTGGTGAAAACGCACAAGGTGTGGGGATGAAGATGACGGCAAGTGGAGCGTAGGGTTTCTGGAAAAATAGGCATTAGAAATCCTATCTGGGTCTATCCCACCCTCCTCCCCCGGATTTTTTTATCCGGGTTATATCCGGTCTATATTCGACCTTATCCTATCCTGGACCACCACCAAACACATGATAGGATAAAACATATCGTATCCTGGCTTTTATCCGGTCGACCAAACGCAGCCTTAGAGTTTAATTAGAGTCATGCCTTAAGTTATTAGAGCCTATAGTTTAATAAGGCCTAAGTTAAGCCCGTGTAATTAAGTTTAGATTTAGGGTTTGCACTATAAATAGACCTTAACTCTTCACAATTAGGAAGGAGGCCAGACATTGAATACACGGTCAGAAGAGAACGGAAGACGTGAAAAAGAGAAAAAAAAATCGTGAGTGGAGGGGGCTTCATAGTACACGGCGGAAGGTGACAAAAACAAAGAGAGATTCACGGCCACAATACAGAATTGAGAGACGGGACATTCATTGAGGGTTCTCCAAAGCACAAAGAATGAAAGAGATTGTGGGGTGGTCGTCTTTGTCTGGAGAGGTCCAAGCCGAGAGAGACAAAGTAGATACAAGAAGAGAGAGAAAGGTTTGGTTCTTTTTTTTTTATTATTTTTCACGCAGGTTACTCAAGTCCCGTGGTTGCAGCCATATCTCCGCGACTATCCACAAGCCTGCGATCGAAACACCACCTGCACCAGCATCGCTCCCCACAGCCACCGGCGTCGTGTCGTTTAATTGGTCTTGCACTACCTGCGCCGGTGATTCTCGGCAAAGTATCTCGCTCCGCGCCTCAAGCCAGCACAGAACCGTGCTTGCAGGTTTCCGAACAGCAGCTCGGTAGTTCCCTACGCCTGATTTTCTCTGTGCAGGTTTCCTGGGTGTTTTCCTGCGTTGCCGCTAGTGATTTACAAGAGAGGCATGGTTCTGAAGTGTTTCCTGGGGTCATGATGGTGAAGGTCTGAAGGCGTGGATCTCTGCTGACGTGGGTCGTGAAGATGGTGATTTGGGAGAGCGGTCTTCCTCTTGATCATCCCCACTACCCATGAAGAAAATTTGCAGGGGAGAAGCCGACAATACATGGGCCCATTTTGAAGACATCAGCAAGACACGAAATGAAAATGGAGGAAGAGCATCAGTCCCAAAGTCTTCACAAGCTAAGTTATCGCTACCAGCGTGACTTTCACGCCCAGATTTGTGTAGCTGCTGCGAGTATTTAGCAAGCTCGATGTCCTCAATACTGGTTCAGCCACAATCGTGAGCATCCCCACCGAGTTGCTCTCCTCACGGCCGAGCCACCATCACCGCTGGCCATCACCTCCCCACCGAGAGCACCACCGCCGGTCCACCACCGTTCGTCATCCCGTCATCCGCAATCCCGATCTGGAGTCGAGTTCGAATTTGGAAGTTATCTGCAAATTAAGGTAAGAATATTATCCAATGTCGTTTTAAATATTTAAAAGCCTAATGTGGATAATATTTTATCTTTTGTGATCCTTTGATATATTGGGGTGAATTTATACATATTCGCAAGATTTTAAAATTACCCAAAGTTAGGAAATTAACAACGTATTTAGACGACGATATGATCTCTAACTATGAAATATGATACTCGGTAGCACGGAGAATCTTTTATCTTATCCATGACTATTTGGATACGATAATTGATTTTATCGTTTCCAAATTTAAAGAAGATAAAGCAAATCTTGCGAATTGCGAGGATTCATCGATGGTGGTGTTTATCTCTCGTTTGATTTTGTTTCTTTAAAAGAAAATCCAAAAAAAGATTAGTTAGAATTTGAATTGATTTCTAATAGGAAAATGTTACGTGTTTAGAGCATATCTAGATAAGTTGCTTTGAATAGAATGAGATAATTTAAATTTGTTAGAAGGATAAGATAATTTCAAATTTAAATTAGGCTTTAGAGTAATTTATTTACTAGTTTAATTTAGATATTATCCTAATCTTGATAATTTATTTCATGTAATTTTTTATTCCGAATTTTATTTAAAAATTACCAAAAACATTGCTCTAGAATAGGCTAATTAGCTTTCCCTAGTTTAAAACTGCATGTTTAAATAATAAGCATTTTTAATTACAAATTTTAATGAAAAATACATCATATGTCCGTCATTAGAATTAGGCCATTTAATCGCGTGTTATATAGTTTGCATGTTAAGTTTATATAATCGCATGTTATACTTTGCACGTCATTGCATATAAGTTAGTTTTCATATAAATAAGAGAAAACCCAAAAATATATTGAGTGAAATTACTTGTTAATTAGAAATCATATTATTAGGGTTGATGATGTGATTTTCTAACTAGCATTGCATATGCTTACGTTGCTTCAAGGTAAGTAACTCTCCCTATCTTGCAATTTATTTAATGCTTTGATATTGGGTGTTAATTTGGTGGTTTGCGCACTCGCATGATCATCTCATTTGTTAGGAAGTAATAAAATTAACCCAAGCCGCTTACTCAAACATTTTCATTTTTTATGAAAATGTACCGAAAGGAAATTAGAGTAATCTAGCATAATTAAGTCCATGTACTCATAATCTCTGGTTCGTAAGAATAAATTATATCTCCTTATACTTTATTTGAGTTTCTAATCAACCCACCATAAACTGATTAGTAGCGACTCCTATTCGAAATCATTTACATGTTAAGAATTTGAACCATAAGTCGCTAATTTGTATAGGCTTAGGAGAGCTCGAGTTAGGTCTAGATTTAATAATTCATTAGCCGAACCCCTAGTTGGTGCAAACTCCGAAGTTTTGTAGGTCACGACCAAGTGTTTCAGGATCTCAATCATGATCATATCTAATGGACGTTCATGAGGTACCATTCGCAGCTAAATAAGCCTAAGGATCAATAGCCTTGAGACCCTCTTCCCATTGCATTCCTTGAACCTCTCGTACCAATTCTTCTTCCTCTCTAAAATCGAATCCGAAAAGCAAACAGATACTGTGGTAAGTGAACACAAAACTTATCAGAAAGCATCATAAAAGTAAATTATGCAAATCAATGGCCACAACAAATGCACGTATAGATGACAATATTCCAACTTCAACAGGATTGGGTTTCATCTAGTTTGGAAAAGCACAAATCACTATGCGTTCCTTTACGGAAATTAAGGGTGCATTTGTTTGAGGGAAAGTGTTTTCCGAACTTTCACCCATTTAATTCGTCGAAAATGATAAGTCAAACGAAAACACTTGCCAATCTAAGAAGGCGAAAATTATTCATGTACAAAATTAGGAAAGTGAATTCCCTAATCTAAGAAGGCGAAAATACTTTTCGAAATTGCTCATCTTGAATTTGTTAATATTTTATTCTTTTCTTTTCTTTCGTTTTTCTTTTTTCTTTTTTGTTTTCTTTTCTTTCTTTGAAAATTTCCTTCTTCCTCCTCTGCCGGTCACTGGCCTTTACGACGGCCTATGACAAGCCACAAGCGCGAGCCAGTAACAGCTGGCCTCAGGCTAGATCGAGCTCACTAGAATCCAGAGACGGCAGACCTCAGGCGAGGCCGAGCTCGCTAGATCCTGGCGAGCTAGAGCCTCGCCAACCTCGCCCACCTCGCCTTGGCAAGCTCGAGCTCGTGGCTCGCCTGAGGTCGGCGAGCTCACGACTTGTTAATGGCCATCGCCGTCAGAAGAAAGGAGATGGGGTTAGTGACGAGGAAGTAAAGGAGCAATGGAGAGGAAGAAGGACAAAAGAAAAACAAAAAAACAAAAATAGAAGTAATGAAAACATTAAAAAAATTTAAAAATTTGAGTTTTTTTAGTAATTTTCCTCTGGAAAATAAAATTAGATTCTCCACACCAAACAACGGAAAACATTTTTTAATTGATTTTCAGGTTTCAGTCAAACACTGGAAAATAAAGCCATTTTCCAAGAAGTCATTTTCTTGGAAAACATTTTCCAAAAATGATTCATTTTCTGCAAAACAAACACACCCTTAATTGCATTGAATTACAATATGCAAATTAAAAATGTAGGCTAAACAAGTCATGATTTTTTACTTATTTTTTGGTTCAA